ATGCATTTCTGGATTACTTTCCTAGAAAATATATGCTGCTGACTTGGCTCCCAAAATCTTGCCCACACTGTGTTTAGACAAAGAACTCTTGGGAGTTGTAGTTATATGGGCCTGCCCACATCAATATGAAAAGATGAGTGCCCAGCAGCAAAATTATAATGAGACTGGTGATAACAGTACAGGGGGTAGAGGAGCAAGGCAAAAAGAAAAAAAAACGACGCTATGACACATTCTAGAGAAGCCTTTCTCATCCTTTTTAGGGTGTTAGGCAGTCTTCCAGCTTCTCCCATTAGCTAAGGTTTACTGAGTATTCTTAGACTCCTAGCTGCTTCCATCCATTGCTGGGTAACGAGTGTTGTGTGACTCCTAGCCGTTCCCTTTAGTTTGAGGGGTAACGGATTTGCCTACATGCCGACGAGCTAGATTGGTGCTCAGTGCAGGAAGCACCCTATTTAAATCGTATCAGTCTGTGTCTCTATGTTTGTGATAGCTTTAGTTTCCTGTTTCCCTGTTTGTTTCCCTGCCTGACCACTGCTATTATCTTGGATTCCCTTGTTGCTGACCTTTGCCCTTGTACCCAGATTACTTTTTGGGATTGTCGCCTGAATTTGGCCTTGGATTGCTAACTGGACTATGCTTGTTTGCTACCAGCCCTGATTTCTAAACTATATTTGGACTACGCTTGCTTCCCTGTCTCAGTCCCAGTGTCATATGGCCAGTAACTATAGCTCTAAGACCTTGTGGCAGCAAGTACTGGTAGGCCTGCTTAGCTTAAAGGAATGGGAGTTGTTATAGGAAGGGGAAACACCAGCCAGCTATAGTTCCTGGCCTAGACATCAGGCTGTGAGTTACACAGTGAACCCCTACAAATTATTACAGTACAACCGATGGTACATTGGCATGGAGGTAGGTGAGAAGAATGCTCCCTACATTGGTGGTTAGTGGGAATAATACCACTCCACTTCTTACATACAACCTTAAAACATCATAGGTGTCAGTGCCTATCTTTGCTTATTGCTCAACCTATAGCAGCCTCTGGAGGAACCCCTGGGGTTTCACTAATCCCAGGTTGATAATGACTGTTCTAGAGGGGAAATCTCAGGGAAATCTGAGAAAATGTGGGTAATGCTTGGACATGCACTTCAACCAACCACAAATTGTAGAGCCTGGGACTGTAAGGCTGCCAGACACAGAGTTAGAGGCTACATATTACCTCTGGACCCCTTGTTGCCCACCACTTGTTCCAACTCCACAAATATAAACAGCTATGATCTTTTTTATTTTAGAAAAAGATTAAATATCTGTATCTGTTAAACCTGGGAAACAATTAGAAAAACAAACTGAAGACTCTTAGCAAATATTTAACATAGCCATCCATAAAGAAAAGAAAAAAAATATACCCATGATATTAAGTCCTGATTTCCATTTGCAGCTAAAATATTAAAGCACCAGTAGAGTTCTCATAATCCATATCACATCTCATCCTTACAGTTCTAGAATATGTAAATGACTTAGCTTTTTGAATGGTAAGGTTAATACATGTTGATAACCCATCCACACTTACTATACAAGATTGCCAAATGTTCAAACGTTATATATTTCAGGATGTAGATAAACCTCATTGATGAAGGAAAATTGTTTACTGTATTTAGGCTGATTTATTTTCTTTACATTGCACATTCCAGCATGCATAAACAGTTCACGATAGCACCTTCCCTTAAGCCCCATATACACGATCAGTTTTTTTTTTTTTTTGTTCAACCCAGTGGATTGAACAAAAAAAAAAAACTGACAGATGTACTAACACAATTGGTGTTGTTACAACGATCATCCCCGCTGTACTATTGTGTTCTGACAGAGGGACTGTCTCCTCACCAGAACACACTGGTCAGTGTTCTTAGCCATTGGCTGACAGCACTGATCGGAAGCCAATCGGCTGACCTTTTTGGTCATGCACCTTTGACAGACGCCACATGAAATTCCAGCTTCTGTCAGACCGACTGCTGTTCACACAGGCTGAATGTTGGATGATTTCTGTTGAACTGGCTGATTCCACCAGATATTCAGCCCATGTGTATGGGGCTTTTGAATCCTTTACAACTGCTGCTAATCAAGAAGTTACTGAGCTTCCCATATGATTTTATTTCTTTACAGTAGTCGTCGGAGATAACTGGCCACAAGAATTGCCTTAAGATTAGATAATGGACTGCCAACAAAACTAGCGCTGGCAGTTAGGGATGAGCAAAACTGGAAGTCTTTGGGGGTTCTTTACTAAAACTGTAGAGTGTAAAATCTGTTGCAACTCTGCATAGAAATCAATGAGCTTCCAGGTTTTATTGCCAAAGCTTAATTGAACAAGCTGAAGTTAGAAGCTTACTGGGTACCATGCAGAGCTGCACCAGATTCTGAGAGCTCCAGTTTTGGTAAATCTCCCCATTTAAGTAAAATTTTACCAAAAATTTTGACCTTTTGGAAAACTACATTGGAGTCTATCGGAAAGGTTACAGTAAGGTGGTTTTTATTGAGTATTAGCTCCTCTCAACTATCGTGGACATAACCTTGTGTCAAAAACACTAACCCTAACGCAAACCTTAATTGTGACTCTAATGGTAATACTACCGCTAACATTTTATTTATAAACAAGGCCACGTGATTGCAATCTCAACACTGACATGGTGATTACAAGACTTTGTTGCTACACAAAGCCATTTATCATCAGTGCTGTTGTGATCAATATTTTATTACCATACTGGAAGTGCAGTGTCTATTTCGGAAGCTATTCTTGTGTTGTTGAGAATCACACATTAAACCTCCGTTGTGAGAAGCAGTTGTAAAATTAAGATATTTGGATTATATTGGTCATCAGACTATTGCATTTAACCTGCACACTTTTCAAATCGGTAGGGTTTATAACTCTCATCTCTTAGGATTCATTTTCAAGGGGGTCTGCTGATGTCTCATGTATACATTGGGGTTGATTTAACTAAAACTGGAGAGTGCAAAATCTGGAGCAGCTCTGCATAGAAACCAATCAGCTTCCATTTTTTTTTTTGTCAAAGCATGAAGTGAGAAGCTGATTGGCTTCCATGCACAGCTGCACCAGATTTTGCACTCTCCAGTTTTAGTAAATCAACCCCATAGATGTCCTGATAAGTCAGCCAACTGCCAACTGTTGCATTAAGGTTATAGGTACCCCCAAAATCAGCACAATATCATGCAGCGGTGCATCCCCAGTATAAACAATAGCACCAGTCTCAACCTGTACTTTTATCAATAACATTTTCACATTGGGCAATCTTGTACCTGACTATTTTTTTAACAAAACTTGCCAATCCTCATTTCTGGTTACCTAAGTACCTTGCAGACTTAACCAAAGAAAATATTGCTTGCATATAGATATATAATTATTACTGTACAGTTTGTTGTCATTGGGTTATACACATGCACGGTTGACGTGAGATAGCACTTATGCTAGAGTGATATACCGAAATCTGTATGGAACATATTTACCATCTTCCAGAACTGGGCTTTGGTTACAGGATACAACCACCATACGTATTACCTGAAATAAGTGTTCTGCTTGGAATGTGTTCAAACATTTCTTGTGCAACAAACAATCCAATCATTACAACAGGATTGCTGCTTGTTGGCAGCAATTTTGGCTTCCTTAAAGTGAAATGATTCAATATATTTGCTTTAAAGTGCACCCATCAATTACACAATGGAGTCAGCCATATTGTGGACCAAGTCAACGCGAGATTGGAGCTCTTAGTGAGAACCTTTACAATAATATTTCTATTATGTCACAGTTTCCCCATTAAACTCAGAAGAGGAAACCATAATTCCATAATACATAGGAAGGCAGCCATGTGTTAATGTGAACAACCCAAAGGGAGTCTGGTGTAAAGCAAGCACCTAAGTACTTTCTGAAGTATTATTCTTCAATGTACAGGCCACCTACTAGGTTCAGGGTAGTGACTCAATAGATACAACTTCAATGCCTCAGAAGCAGCTCAATAGGTGGTCATTTGATTTGTGTCTTACAGATAACACAGGAATGAAACTAAAGGTAATCTATTTTCAGGCATTGCCTATATGGTGGACCCTATAAGAATATTACCTAGTCTTGGTTGGCAAGTCAAAATTGTATTCCAATAATGGTGAAGGGAACAAGTGAAAAACAGCAAAGGCAGAGATATTGTGCTGAGCTAGAACACAACCATACTGTAACATCAACTCAGTGTTAGTAATTTAGAAGATGCCAGTGAGCCTCAGGAGAGGAAGCCATCTTATAGTGAACAAATACTCATAAGAGGTTGTCTTATCACAAGAACATATGCCTTAGTGATGTCGCAAATACCAATGAAACAATGAAAATTAAAGTATAGGTAGGCATTTTGTTAATTAACTCAACATTTACATGAACCAGGTCTGATTCATGTCTTCATAGTGATGGTCCAGACTGGAACTAAATGTAGCCTTGGCATCTGAATTGTTTAGGTGCATGCTATAAGTTTGCCAAGTCCCATGTCTGTAGATATAATATAATAAAAGATAAATGAGTAGAGTTGATGAGGCCCACAGAGAACTTTGCTTTGTGGACCCAAAAATTCTCTCAGACACACAACCACTACCGGCAATGTCAAAGTTAGTAGCTAACTTGGCCTAAGTCTGCATTGATGTCACAAGGTTCCCAATGAAAGTTTAAGATACATTGTCACAAGGTTTTCTTTGACCAACAACTTGACTGCCTCCATTGTGAGCAGGAAAAGGGGCACTTTAAAGCCAACGTTTGACGATATCACGTAGTCTCAAAACAAAACAGTGCGTACGTCCTTCTATAATGCTAACCTTCTCCCCTATTAGACACCATACACAATTGTGGATAAGGGTCAGTGGGGATCTTTGCTCCAAGGGTAATTGTTCACAAAACCATCATGCAGACTCATGTGATCTCCTCTCCACCTTTAAACGACTGTGAAATCCACTTGTATCCTGTACTATGAAAGTGAAGTAATATTAGAACGACCACCAGGGGGTGCTACAATTTTTTGAGTAGTGCGTCTCGGGATATGGTCATCTGTTTGAGATCCTGCAAAAGAATATGTGAGACATTTATTATTCTGTTATTCCTGCTATTGGATCATACACATTTTGTATATATGTATTTATATGTGTATAATATTTACTGTGTATACATACACCGATCAGCCATAACATTATGACCTCCCACTATAATATTATGATCACCCACCTAACATTGAGTAGGTGCCCCTTTTGCTGCCAAAACAGTCCGGACCCATCAAGGTTTGGACTCCACTAGAACTCTGAAGGTATGCTGTGGTTGTGGTATTTGGCACCAAGCCATCAGTAGCAGATCCTATAAGTCCTGTAAGCTCGGGGTACGGCCTCCATGGATTGGACTTCTTTCTCAGGTAAGCACACGCAACCAGCTATCCACATGATGAAAAAAGAAATTGTGATTCATCAGACCAGGCCACCTTCTTCCATTGCTCCGTGGTCCAGTTCTGATGCTCATGTGCCCATTGTGGCACTTTTGGTGATGGACACGGGTCAGCATAGGCACTCTGACCGGTCTGCAACTAAGCAGCCCCATACACATCAAACTGCAATGTGCACTGTGTGTTCTGACATCTTTCTATTGGAACCAGTATTAACCTTTTTTCGGTAATTTGATGTACAGTAGCTCTTATATTGGGTCAAACTACATGACCAGCCTTCACTTCCCAAGTGCACCGATGACCCTTGGCCACCCATGACCCTGTTGCTGGTTCACCAGTTTTCCTTCCTTGGACCACTTTTGGTAGGTCCTGACCACTGAAGACCAGGAACAACCCAAAAGAGTTGCAGTTCTAGAGTTGCTCAAGCCCAGTCATCTAGCCATTACAATTTTGCCCTTGTCAAAATTGATCAAATCTTTACACTTGCCCATTTTTGTCTTCTTTCAACACATCAATTTTAGGGACAAGGTGTTCCTTTGCTGCCTAATATGTCCCGATGCCACTGTAGGAAGATAATCAATATTATTCACTTTTCCTGTCGGTGGTCATAATGTTATAGCGGATTTATGTATATGAGATGCATACTGTGTGGATAAATAATAGCAGTGGTTTTGGCCAGGGAAAAAACACAATCATGTAACAAAAATGATATATGCATGTTGAAATTCTTCAGATATCTAAGACAACAGTGACTGTTAAAGGTCACAAAGAGATCCTGTTGTCAACTTAACAAATTGCAGGCAAAAGCACAGAAACATTTGGTATTCTTGCACTGTTTTTCTTTTCCATAAACAGTTTTATTCACTTGCGAAGTGCTTTTAAACTTGCTAGTAAATTTGACTTCTGGAAGAGTCACTTCCCTAGCACAGTCTACTCCATCCTTGCATATCATAGACCTCTCCTCTTTTAGGAGTATCTAATTACTGTGCTGGCCCAGCTCCACTATCCTTCCCCTCTCCTTGTAGAGGAGCAACTTATAGAGTGGCAGCTGTATACCAGAGTCTGCTGGGGCTACTGACTTTATATACAAGATAGTGGAGCCCAACAGCAGTTTTAAGCCAGCCATACATGAACTGAAATTTAGACAGTTCAGCAGGGACCAGTCGAATGTTCAGCAGGCCGGTTGTGGAGATGTCGATCTACTGATCAACATCTGTACTACCAGCCTGTTGGATTTGCCCTACTCGGTCAGTGCCAACTACTATAGCTGGCAGTGCTAAACAGTGTATTCTCATGGTGGGGAAGTCTCCCTACTGTCAGAATACGACTCAGCGGGGAAGATTTCCCAACTCACACTGAGTGTGTGATTGGGGGAATCAAGTTATATTTTATCATTCATCCCACTGGCTGACCTATGTATGGGCTGCCTTGGGGCTTTTGCACATGTATGCAACGGAGGCTTTACAAGTATATATCATGCTTAAAATACACTATATTGCTAAAAGTATTGGGGCGCCTGCCTTCACACGCACATGAACTTTAATGGCATCCTAGTCTTCGTCCGTAGGGTTTAATATTTAGTTGGACCCCACTTTGCTGCTACAACAGCTTCAACCCTTCTGGGAAGGCTGTCCACAAGGTTTAGGAGTGTGTCTATGGGAAGGTTTGATCATTCTTCCAGAAGTACATTTGTGAGGTCAGGCACTGATGTCAGACAAGAAGGCCTGGCTCGCAGTCTCCGCTCTAATTCATCCCAAAGGTGTTCTAACGGGTTGAGATCAGGACTCTGTGCAGGCCAGTCAAGTTCCTCCACCCCAAACTTACTCATCCATGTATTTATGGACCTTTCTTTGTGCACTGGTGCGCAGTCATGTTGGAACAGGAAAGGGGCCATCCCTAAACTGTTCCCACAAAGTTGGGAGCATGAAAGTGTCCAAAATGTCTGACGCCTTAAGAGTTCCCTTCACTGGAACTAAGGGGCCAAGCCCAACCCGTGAAAAACAACCTCACACCACCAAACTTTACACTTGGCACAATGTAGTCAGGCAAGTACCGTTCTGCTGGCAACTACCAAACCCAGACACGTCCATCAGATTGACAGACAGAGAAGTGTGATTCATCACTCCAGAGAACACGTCTCCACACGGCTCTATAGTCCGTGGCGGCATGCTTTACACCACTGCATCTGATGCTTTGCATTGCATTGTGATGGAAGGCTTGGATGCAGCTGCTCAGCCATGGAATCCCATTCCATGAAGCTCTCTATGAACTGTTGTTGTGCTAATCTGAAGACCACACAAAGTTTGGAGGTCTTTAGCTATTGACTCTCCAGACAGATGGCGATTTCTGCACACTGTGTGCTTCAGCATGTGCTGGCCCTGCTCTGTAATTGACATTGTACATGGCCTACCACTTTGTGGCTGAGTTGCTGTTGTTCCCAGTTGTTTTCACTTTGTTATAATACCACTAACAGTTGACCGTGGAATATTTAGTAGCAAGGAATATTCATGGATGGACCTATTGCACAGGTGGCAACTTATCACAGTACCACACTTGAATTCACTGAGCTCCTGAGAGCGACTCATTCTTTCACAAATGTTTGTAGAAGCAGTCTGCATGCCTAGGTGCTTGATATTATACACCTTTGGCCATGGAGGTGATTGGAACACCTGAATCCGATGATATGGAGGGCTGGCCCAATACTTTTGGCAATATAGTGTATGTTGAATGCAGATATAATCTTATGCAAAATGAATGGTCTGACAACAGGGTCTCTTTTAAGCAGTGTTACTATTTAATCCTTGCACAGTCAGGTCCATAAATATTGGGACATCGACACAATTCTAACATTTTTGGATCTATACATCACCACAATGGATTTGAAATGAAACGAACAAGATGTGCTTTAACTGCAGACTGTCAGCTTTAATTTGAGGGTATTTATATCCAAATCAGGTGAACAGTGTAGGAATTACAACAGTTTTATCTGCTCACTGTAATTGGGATAATGAGGGAATAACACACACCTGGCCATGGGACAGCTGAGAAGCCAATTGTCCCATTACTTTTGGTCCCTTAACAAGTGGGAGGCACATATGCAAACTGTTGTAATTCCTACACCATTCACCTGATTTGGATGTAAATACCCTCAAATTAAAGCTGACAGTCTGCAGTTAAAGCACATCTTGTTCGTTTCATTTCAAATCCATTGTGGTGGTGTATAGAGCCAAAAATTGTAGAATTGTGTCGATGTCCCAATATTTATGGACCTGACTGTAACAAGTTGACTCTGACCTCCCAATCTTGGGGTAATTAACGTACCTGACAAACTGAACCCAGACTGATGAAGATTTCGAACCGGCATCATCTGCACTTTTCCAACACACGGTGCTACCCGGGAGGTTGGCGTGGGTGCTACAGATTTAGTGGCCATTGTGACATCATGAACAGGTCCATCATATAACCCCCTGGGAACTCCACGGACTTCTGCCAACTATAACAGGAGACACAGGAACAAGATTCAGAAATTCTCAGTTTGAGGGTACGTATCATCTTAAGAGTTATTGTGATGATTAAAGTGTAGTAGCCCATTGTTAATATTAAATATTAATGTTAATATTAAATATGAACTCTTTATGGTTGTTAAAGACTACTATAGCAAAAAAAAAATGTTGAATTCTAATAACTGTATGGGGTTCTTACTTGAAATTATATTATTCATACATATGACTTTTTTTCTCCACATTTACATGGAGACTAAGCTATCCAGCAAGAAGAGTGGTTACAGGGGTCGGGACAAACCATCTAACACTGATGGGAGTGCTAACAAGGGTTGCCTTTTATTCATATGTTTTAAAACTCTATTCCAAAAGTAAAAAAAAAAAAAAAAAAAACTTGCTTTAACTGCTTAAAACATGTTATATGGAGTTAAGCTTTAATTTGTTAGTCTTTTTCAAAGTCAATTTAAAGAAGGTATGGATATTTTATACATAGTTGTATGGTCCAGTGGAGATGACTGGAGTAGTACTGTCTACTTCTAGATTGTAAGCTCCAAGGAGCAGGGCCCTTCTATCCTTCTTGTATTGAACTGTATTGTCTCCCGTTATATTGTAAAGCGCAGAGCAAACTATTGGCGCTATATAAATCCTGTATAATAATAATAATAACTTCAGGAATTTCCAGCTGCCAGGTGTGGTATATACATAGTTACATTGGTCTAAGTTAGACCAATGTAATTATGTATACCAGTGTTTCTCAGCCAGGGTTCCATGGAGCCCAAAGGTTCCTCCAGAGGTTGCTAAGGTGTTCCTTGAGCAATGAGCAATTTCTGCCTCTTAGATAAGTTCCCACCGATACCATTGATCTTTTTAGCTATCTGTAAGGAGGGAATTCTTCCCAATGACCACAAATGTAAGGAACATTCTTCCCACTGACCATCATGCTGATATATCATGAGTTGTAGATATTGTCATTTTTAGCAGGGGTTCCCTGAGACCAGAAAGTTAATTCAAGGATTCCTCTATGTTGAAAAGGTTGGGAAAGACTGATGTATACAATATCCATCCCTGGAATTCGTCTTTAAAGTTACATGGTCATCTAAGATTACCTTGTCCACAGGGGAACAAATCAGGTGTATGACAGGAGAGACAGGACAGATTGCATCAAATCCGTACAATCAACTTGGCCAAGAATCCTCAGTAGATTAAAAAAAACACTGCTCAGGTTTTGGAAAAGAAACTTCTAAAGAATGTCAAATTTGTAGGTTGTGCGCCTATCTGTTGAAAAAACCTTTGGGTATGGGTGGCTCCCTGTCTTGCCTAGATGGCAGGACAAGCCAGATGTTGGGAGTGTGACCCCAGCCAGGAATGAGTGCTCTACTTCATTCAAAACCCGTTTGTGTGCAGTCCATTCTCTATCCCCCTGTTGCACAACGCTGAGCAAGCCAGAACGCTAGTTCCTGTGAAACTGGAGGCACACACCTGACATTGTGCGCATCCTGCCATCTAACCAGGACGGTTTGCCTAACTAGAAGGTTTTCAGACAGGATTGAATAAGATTATGCATAGCCTACAGGTATAACATTGAAAGAAGCTTCTTTTCCCAAACCTGAGCAATGTTTTTTTTAATGTACTGGGCATGCTGGATTGCATTGACAATTTTATTGCAAAGGTGAACTTACTCTTTAAAGTATATCTAAAGCCCAGATATTTTTTTCATATTGGACAGAGCAAGGGAAGGTTAAAACTGCTGTCTGCTTTTCTTTTTTGTAATCTGTATCTTAATAGAGAAATTGCCCTCTAGGGTTGTTTCTCTTTTTTCCGAACATGAGTGGTCTTGGTCACTTGATTTTTTTATGAATGGATAAAATACTGATTAAATGAATATCGTTCACTCCCTTATTTTACGAGATACATTTTCGTGCCTGTCCCTTCAGATAATTTTTGTTATGATCAGCTCTCGAAAGCTGTGTACTAACAAAAAGATTATTGAACAATCTCTCCAAATTCTTTTTTTTAGTCTGATTTTCTCATAAAGTGTACCAGGCATAATGGGGACATAGACCAAAAAAAATGACAGTGCTTCTGACCCCTCGCCACTTTATCCAAAATTAGAAAAAAGTGTTTCCATTAGTTATACGTTAATGTACAGGGAAAGCTGATTTCTGAATGGTTGGTGCCAATTTCTCTTTGCACTATATAAAATGTGCTAAATTAAATCTAAAACAGCATCTGAAATGTCTAACTTCTGGAAAATGAAGACAATTCAACATGATTAATAATTTGTGCAGAAGGCTGTTGGCATGCAGGACACAATTATAGAATCCCAGTCCCCATAGGAACGTGTTAGAATATGTAATGATTTACAGCACAAATGAACTGACCTAATTTTCTCTTGCCTGGGATCTCGATATAACATAATATTGTCACCAACATTAGCTGCGATGCTTAGAGAGCACTTATCCCTTGCATGCTGTAATGTAACCCCCAGAGGAGCTGCCGGAGCCTTTGTAACCATCAAAGCCAATTCTTCAGAGGGAATTGCCACGTCCTATTTTACCGAGTCTTATCTCAAGTGCCTACAAGGCCATTATATCATACTCTACATTATAATAGATAAGGAGCTTTTACAGGAGAAAGTGAATACAAGCTAATTTCCTTTTGTTTTCTATATTTTACATCAGGTGTATGTATCAAGGGATCACAAAGAAGAAACGTTTCCTAGTGCCCACAGCATTGTTTGGAAAGGACTTCCTTCAAAGGCATGGGTAAATATAGGGGAAGGTCACTTGGTAGGCCTCACAGAGAATTAAAAGTTTTTCTCCACATTGCTTTTTACACTGTTTTTTTTTTTTAATTAAAGGGGACCTGTCAAGACTCATATCACCTATGTGAGAAGACTCTATGAGGATAGGGCTGCAATAAAGAGTGATATCTCTAGAAGCAAAGCTGATTGGTCAGGGAAGCCTTCCCCTAACTTTACCCCTGTGGAACCGCTGAAATAATTTTCACGACTTGGGAAACCCCTGCTAAAACCAATTAATTCAGGGTCAGTTGGAAACATGCCCCCCTTACATTGCTGCTCTGTAGGAATAATGCCCATGCACCATGCAGTTTGGTGCATCACACTAAAAAAACAGTTAGAGACTCCATTTGCGCATTTCTGGCACATACCGCAGCTCGTTGAAATTAATAGGCTGCCCTACATGCGACACGCTGAAAAGCACAAACAATCCACAGAAGAACGCTTGAGCTAGGTCATATCTGTATGTGTGAACCAAGCCTTAGGCTGCAAACACACTAGATTTTTTTTGCGTGCAATTAAGAAAAACATATGCGCTCCCAGCACACGTGTCCGGTACTCATGGAAAGGTCCTGATCTCCTCTTTCGATCACGACCTTTCCCGATCATGTGACCCATGTGACAGCGAATCACAGCAGTCGCATGACCCTAAAACCCCACCCCGCCTCCTGGCTTCTGAAACCCTTAAAGGGCTGGAAGGCGCCGGTGCCAAGGGGTTAAGCTCAAAAAATGCTGGAAAAATGCTGGATAAAAAAAAACAGGTAAGAGCATTTTAGTAGCGTTTTAGTAGCATTTAGAAGCATCAGCATTTTATTAGCGTTTTTTACAGTACATGTAGAAAAAAAAAGCTAGAAAAAAGCTGTTACCAGCGTTTTAGTAGGAGTGTTTCACATTTTTTTTGCTGGAAAAATGCTCCAAAAATACTCTACAAAAACAATTTTTTTCTGCTCCTAGATGCTGTATCTCAAAAACACTAATAGCCTAAAGTAGTGTGCACGGACACATCAGATAACATTATTTAGCTTCAAGGAGCAGAAATAAAATGCTAATAACAGCTTTTAGGAGCTTAAATAAACACTAGTGTGCATGGAGCCTAACTGGTATGTAAATAGACCAAAAGAGATCAAATAAGTGTGGTCCTATGTGTATGCAGGCATTTGAGATAGGGACCCTAAATCGTAAGCTCCCTGATGGCAGGGACTGATATGAATGTACAATAAGTAAAGCGCTATGTAAATTGATGGCACTGTATACATACCTGTAATAAATATTAAATAAGTTCATTGTTGGGTTTGCATACACTTTAAATGTAACCGATTACTCACAGTTTGTGTTCTTTACACTGTTTTGCACTGCACTATGATAGAACTTTAGGCACCATAATCTACATTTTGTACAGCAATGCGTAAAGTGATGTGATTCATGCAAACCAATCAGAAATTATCTTTCATTACCACGGCTAAATGCCTGCAAAGTGATAGGTTGCAGGGGGATAATGACATTATTACTTTCTGCATTGAGCTCTACAAATCAAAGAGGCAGAATTGTATTATCACTAGCCTTCTGAACGACATATCAGACTGGATGTCACTCCACTTCCTCAAACTAAACCTTGCTAAAACCAAGCTCCTAGTTTTTCCCCCCCCAGCCCGCGCCCCCCTGACCTCTCCATCACGATCAACAACGCCACCATCAGTCCCCCCTGCAAGCCAAAGTACTAGGTGTCATTCTGGACTCCAATCTGTCTTTCCAGCCCCAGATCCAATCGCTGACAAATTCATGCAGACTCCACCTCTGCAATATCGCCAAAATACGCACGGTCCTAACTAAACCACAAAGCAACTCATCCGCTCCCTTATCATATCATGACTTGACTACTGCAACTCCCTCCTCGCCTGCCTACCCCAACACAGGCTATCCCCGCTTCAGTCTATCCTGAATTCTGCGGCCAGACTCATCCACCTCACCAACAGCTCCATATCCGCCACCCCCCTCTGCCAATCCCTCCACTGGCTTCTGATTGCCCAACGCATAAAATTCAAAATATTAACATTGACGTACAAAGCTGTTCATAACACTGCCGCAAACTACATCACTGACCTGATATCCATCTACCACCCAAAACACACTCTCCGCTCCTCACAAGACCTCCTACTCTCCAGTTCCCTGGTCTCCTCCTTCCATGCCCATCTC